ATGTCGAAGCCGCTGCTTCATTTGCGAACGCCATGCAACACACGCGGATACCGTGACTGAGTTCCGTACGGCCACACTGTAACTCGTCTCTCGCTTTGCCCTTTGTGGCCACTCCAATTCTCCTCACAAAATATTGTGCGTGCGCTCGTTCGAACCAGTTCGACGAGCTCTACTCAGTGCTTCCCAACTCTTGGATCTAACCGGTGTGGATTATACTCTTTCTCCAGTTCCCAGTTTTCGGCATATTCTTTGCCGAATTTCACTTGTGTAACTACATCAGACCGGTCTTTCGGAAAAGATTTTGGTCTCATTCGGAAGAAGAAGCTGAGGGCTCCCAAACTACGCGGCAACCATCCCTGCAAGTTGCAGCATAACAAAGTTAGAGCCTTTTTGCTCCGCTCATCAACTGAGCAGCTCTCAGGAAGCTTATCAGCGCTCCACCTGCATCGTCGCTTAAGGCAGGCCGATTAACACACGCTGCCGCTTTGTTTGTGTGTGTACCACTGCAAGTCTATTGATCGCTGAATCCGACAGTCTGCGCGTTACGACCCCCATCTGCCCCTACGCCTGACCTTGGTGCGGTCGAACAACTCTCAATTCGTGTGCGTGTTCTGACCTATTCGTGCGTCACCCCTAGCGCAAAATACACTCACCAAGGCTTTGTTGTAAACAAGAGGACAACTAGCATTCCTATGGTTCAGCGTCGCCTATGTTGTGCAGACAACTGCAGTAAAGTGCTTAAGATCAGTATTACCTGTTCCAGCTGCATTAAATCGTACTGCCCGCAATGTGCAGGCAAATCTGTCCAAGAAGTGAGACAGACAAACCAAGTTGCTGACACAATTTGGTTTTGCCCATCATGTCAAGTGATTCCAGTTGTCAACTGTTTATCATTGCTAATGAAAAAATGCGATAGGATGACTGAAATAATCGCACAATTTGTAAATACTAAGGTCGCTCCCTCGGAGGTAAATATGGCCACGATAATACCTCACCCGGTCAAAGTTAGTTCTGCGTCTAAACCGAAGAAAAGAGCTAGACGATCCAACCGCACTGCAGCCTCTGTGACTCTAAACCCACTGGGTCACCTCACTCCCATCAGTGGGCAAGCCTCAAACATGCCTGCGTCCACTTCTCCAACCATAGACGCTTCACTTGGAGATTCAGCCATGACACCGATAGCTCACAGCCGAAGGAAATCCGGTGCAGATAACAAGCAGGTAACGTACGCATCGATTGCATCGACAAACACACCGGGAGCGACACACACAAGTTCATCTTCAGTACCGAGCACGCGTGGCCCAAAGCAGCTTTCACTGTCAACTCCAGTGGTGCCCTCTAAACAACCTGAATTGCCGGCAAAAAGTATAAAGCCAACACTTGCTAGACAAAACCACGCTGCGCTAACTCTCGTGTGCACCAATGTTCCCGAATCCAAATCTGGCACAATAAAAGGCAAGTTGCAAGACGATCGCAACCAGTGGAGTTCCATCTGCGAGGCGATTGGTATTCGGGTTGAGCCTGCAATGCTGCAACGCGTAGCACGTCACCCGACCTCAGTGCACTCTGGTGAACCTCGAATTCTTCGAGTAACTCTAAACTCAGCAGATGAGACAGAGGCTGTCCTGCTCTCAGCAGTTCGTCTTCGCAACTCACCGAGCGGAGTGCGCATATTACCTGATCTACCTTGGAAAGACCGCGCAAAAGAAGCAGTGGAGCAACGCGGTATTGCTACTAGGGATAGCAAGAAAACAATATTTGTTCATGGTGTTCCCGAGCTCCTGCATGCTTTTGATCACGATGCACAAACACATGACCGAGAACAGTGGTGCTACATCCGCGAAGCACTCTGTGTTAACAATGTTATTGCCAAATCCCTAACAAGAGTTCCGTTATCACCTAACTACAAGGGCTGCGGTCCAAGGCTAATGAAGGTAATACTACACTCTGAAGGAATGACGCAAGTTCTGTTGGATAGCTGGTTAAAGTTTCGAGCTAGGTTGCCAACAGAAATACGGCTAAAGGCAGCAGGCGAACGACCAAAAGTCGGAAGAAATTCGATGGAACTTGCAAACCCTGCAAATTCTTTATTTGCACAGTCCTTCGGAGAGACCGACACAACAGCGCCCACGTCACACAGGAGGACCGAGCACAGCACGAGTGAACCATCAGTTCAGGAACGCTCAATAATGTCATGTAACACGACTGAAATACACAAACCAAAAAACGATTAATTGCCGGCCACCTAACGGCCGGCTTAAAAGCGAACACAAACTTGACATCCACCAATAAACTCCTAACCACAAAAGCCCTATCTTGCATGTACACAAACGCTCAAGGCCTTCGAAGCAAGTTGGCCGAACTTAGAGAACTCCATGCCTCACAACCGCGGGACCTCGTCATGATTACAGAGACATGGTTAAACCCTGAGATAACCGACTGTGAGATCAAGTTACCCGGTATGTCGCTGCTTCGGACCGATAGAACCGGAAGCAGTGGCGGTGTGATTCTTTATTATAATACAAGCCTCCGATGTGAAGTTATCGATCACCCGGAAATCCGAGCTCCCGATTCGCTTTGGTGCCGCCTTTGGTTGCGAAACAAGGACACATGTCTACTAGCCGTGGTTTATCGCCCGCCAAACTCAACTTCGGAAATGGACTCCAAACTGTACCACGTTTTTCAGTTTGCTTTGAACAAGTCCTACACCCACATTCTTATCGCGGGAGACTTTAACGTGCACGACATAGAGACGCCGGCAACTGACGGTACGCAGTTTAAAGCCTGTTTGCAAGAACTTATTGCTAGCCACCCTCTTTACAATCACGTAACCTCTCCCACCAGATTTCGAACTTCTAACAAGCCGTCGATACTGGATCTTGTGCTAACTAACGAAGAACTCATGGTTGGCGGGATAGTTACAAGCACACCACTGGGTCGTAGTGATCATGTCACTCTACTCTTTGATTATATATGCTATGCCGAGTACCCGAAAAAGGAGGAGGATAAAGTGCACACTGTCACGCACTACAATGTGTTGTCTAAGCTTGTTAAGGATACATCTTGGACTTTCTTAATCGAATGCCCCCCAGATCTGGCCTGGGATATGTTTACAAGGACTTTGAGCACACTGGTAGCGCAAGCATCGGAACAGAAGTCCTTCCAACCCAAAAACCAGAGTAAGTCATTTCTGAGGAGCAGAACACGTAAATGTATGTCCCGGAGGGATTTGGCATAGCGAAATCACCAGGGTTGCCCGAATGCCGAAACCTGGACTGCATACGTGACACATCGTAACTTCTGTGTGAAACTGATCCGCGAAGACAAGATCACGCATCAGCAGAAGTTAATGAAGCGATTCTGCACTAACCACAAACTCCTGTATAGGCACCTTACCGGACTTCGAAAGGTAAAGCGAGGGGTTCCGGCGCTAGTCACGGCTGATGGATACACGCGGTCAGCAATGGAAGCAGCTGATCTCATACGGCTTCATTACTCTCAAACGTTCCAACAAGTGTCGAGCCCAAACATTCACCTCACTTCTAATACTCCACCATCTGGTTTAGAAAACATCACCTTCACTGCGGAAGCTGTGTTGAAGAAGTTGTTATCCTTGCGTATCCACAGTTCTCCCGGAGCTGATAACATCCAACCAAAGGCTCTACAGGCAGTAGCTAGTGATCTAGCAGAACCACTGGCTGTTTTCCATCAGCGATGTCTAGAGGAAAACCATGTTCCACCAGTATGGAAGCAAGGGGTCATCACTCCTGTGGCAGTGCGTACGCGCGGGCCTTACCACGACCGCACTTCGTAGCTTGTGATTGGATGCCTGTCCGTTCGCGATCAATACCAGGGTTGTTTTGAATATACTGAGTGTATGTACCGTTGGCGTGAATAGAAGTTTGTGTTGCGTACCAGTAGAGTTCTGCTTCCTCGTTCGGGGCTTTGGTCGTGTTTGTTCAAGACCCTGCGTGCAGGGGACTAGTGTACGTGTAGATACAACAGTGGCGTCGCGAGCTGTGGACCATTACAATGGCATTTCACCTACTACCTCCAGAAGCCTTTTGGTGCGATCCTGCTTCCAGACCTACGGAGAGTGATTGGATCCAATGGAGAACGTCTTTCACGAATTACTTGGACCTACTCCCAGCAACTACTACTTACGATGAGAAGCAAAAACTGAAACTACTTCGTCACCTGTTGGGCAATGAAGGTCAACGTTATTTCGATGCGCTAGATCTTCAGAAATTCGACACACTTACAAAGGCATTGGATGTACTCGATCAGTCATGGGGTGCACGGCCAAACATTTTCGCTGAACGCTACAAGTTCTGCTGTTTGAGGCAAGAAGATGCAGAGCCACTGGAACAATTTGTCGCTCGTTTAATTCGGTCTGTAAAAACCTGTGACTACACTAGCATCCCGAAGAATAAACTTGAGAGTGTTATGCTGACGCAGCAGTTGATAACCGGTATAAAGGATAATCGTATACGCGAAAAGCTACTTTCCGAAGATCCGTCAAAACTTACCTGGGAGAGAGCCATAGAGATCGCAAGACTAATAAAAGCCGCCGTTGAACATTCGAGCCTATTCAAGTCGAGTGATATACTAGAAGTCAGTAAGATTCAGCACAAGGGTTCCAGTCAACCTCAGAATTCGACTGTTTCGTGCTATAGATGTGGGAGTTCTCGCCACAAAGCTGACTGTCAAACATGTCCGGCTCGTACAGCTGAGTGTAAAAGCTGTGGTAAACTGGGCCACTTCGCCAGATGCTGCCGCTCGCGTCGAGTCGCGTTAATTGACCAACGAAATGATGTTTCCACCTCACCGACTACACCGAATGTTTTTTCTATTAGAAGACGATTACAACCAGAAACACGACGAATTGCTTCGCTGGAACCCAAGCTCCCTGCTCCTGACATACGTACCGTTACACTCCATGGGCTTAACACTTCTGTATCAGTGACTATGGAGCTAGACTCGGCATCGCCGATAACAATTATCCCGTCCAGCATTTACGACAATTACCTGCAAGACATTCCATTACATCCTACGTCGTATAAATTCGAATCGTACACAAATTCACGTGTGCAAATTCGGGGATATATAATGACGAAAATCAGTTTACTCTCAGTCGCATCTGATGTAGCTGTGTATGTTGCCTCCGAAGAGAGTCCAGCCTTGCTGGGGAGAAATGCTATGGTTGCCCTCAACATAACACCATCTATCGAGCGAATGCGCATCATGACAATCAAAACATCAGTACTTAAAAGCTTATATCCCAAATTATTTACTGAGTCGATTGGCCGGATTCCATCTGCTGCTCATCGAATATGCCTTAAAAAGGACGCTAAACCGTTTTCGATTTCGCAGCCACGTCCTATTCCATTGGCCAAACGTGCGATGGTAGAAAAGGCCATACAAGAGATGATTTCCAACGATTTGATAGAGCCAGTTAACTGTTCCGAATGGGTGCATCCCATGGTCACGGTGTTAAAGAAGGACGGTACTGTGCGCATATGCAACGACTTGAAAGCGTTGAACAGTCAGATCGTCGTCGAAAAATTCGTTCTTCCCACAGTTGACGAGTTGTTGGTCAAGATAACTGGCGCGCGATTTTTCTCAAAACTAGACCTGAGGAAGGCCTTTTTCCACATGCCATTGACACCAGAATCCAGACCACTTACGGCTTTTCTGACATCGAGTGGTCTATTCCAGTACAAAGTCTTGCCGATGGGACTTAGCTCCGCTCCAGCAGCTTGGCAGAAGTTTATGAATCACTCACTAGCAGATCTACCAGGACAAATCGCTTACATGGATGATGTATGCGTTTTCGGGAAATCAAGAGATGAGCACGACTCAAGGCTGCGCGCTGTGTTGCAGCGATTGGAGAGCCTAGATCTTCGGCTAAACCTGGAAAAGTGTATATTTTGTGCTACGGATGTCGAGTTTCTTGGGTACGTCTTATCAGCTGGTGGAATTAGACCATGCGCAGCTAATACTCGAGCTATCACGGAAGCCCCTGTACCGAAGAATACATCCGAGGTTAAGCACTTTCTTGGTTTGTGCTCGTACAACTTGCGCTATTTGCCCGATTTTGCAACTATAGCGGAGCCATTGAGAATGCTGACAAAAGAAAAAGCTACGTTCGATTGGGGCTCTTCGCAGCAGTCGGCCTTTGAAGAAATTAAAAGACGCCTCGTCTCCACCCCAATGCTGGCCATTTTCGACGAAAACTGCCCAACATTCGTCTCAACGGATGCGTCAAACATCGGTTTAGGAGCGGTCTTGTCTCAAATTCAGAACGGTGAGGAAAAAGTGATTGCATATGCTTCTAGAAAGTTATCCCCTACTGAAGTTTCATATTCCGCAGGTGAAAGGGAGGCCCTGGCCTGTGTATGGGCCTGTGAAAAATGGCACCTGTTTCTGTTTGGTCGGAGATTTACATTGCGCACGGATCATGCTGCTCTAACTACCCTCCTCAGTCGAGGAACCAATGGTCACAGGCCACTACGGATTAACCGCTGGTATGCGCGGTTACTGAACTATGATTTTCAAATCATCTTCCGCCCTAGCTCCGAGAACCGTATGGCAGATAGCTTATCACGTCTCCCATTGGATGATTCCGACAAGAATGAAGACGACGAAGAAAAAGTCATGATTTCTGCTTTACAATCAAATGAGCTCTCCGCGGTTACTAAACACGAGCTTCAAGAAGCTAACCGGAGTGATTCATATGTGCAAGATGTCATTCACTATCTCTCTCAAGGCTGGCCTCGCTACGCGAAGTTGAGTGGTGAACTACGGGCGTTTTATGTTTTACGACATGAGCTAGCGGTCGTTGATGATTGCCTTATGCGAGGATCGCGATTCGTAGCTCCACAGAAACTGACATCAAAAATTATCCAATGTGCACACGAAGGACATCCGGGTATCGTACGGACGAAGCGCCGACTTCAAGAATACTTTTGGTGGCCAAAAATGAATAAAATGGCAGAGGCGTGTGTCCGGTCTTGCGATGCATGTCAGAAGGCCGACAAGAGCTCCAAACCAATCGATGCCCCCATCCAACCTGTTACTTATCCAATGAAACCTTGGTCGAAGGTGGCGATTGACATCATGGGACCGTTTCATTCTGCACCACAGCACCAGAGGAACTGCTTAGTTGCCACGTGTTATTACAGTAAGTGGCCGGAAATCCATTTGTGTGGCGATGTGACCACCTCAACCGTTATACGGTGGCTGAAACATCTGTTTGCTAGATTTGGGTTTCCTGAGGAAATTGTGACAGACAACGGACCACAATTCACGAACTATGAGTTTAAACGTTTCTTACAGCTTCGTGATGTGAAGCACGTACATACTGTCCCGTACAACCCAGCTGCCAACGGCATGGTTGAGCGCACTAATCGCACGCTAAAGGAAACTATACAGACAGCACGTTTGTCCGGCAGGCAGTGGGAAGATGCCGTTTTGGAGGCTCTGTTTACTCACCGAACATCGCACCACAGAGCGACTGATCGCACGCCAGGTGAGCTGATGTTTGGCAGGAAGTTGCGTACGAAATTAAACGCAGCTATTTCGGCTGCAGAAAACAACGACCCCCACCAACTGGAACGTCGCCGGGGTTATCAGTCATCCTACGAAAAACGGGCCACATCGCTGCGTCCTGGAACGTTGGTCAGGCTAAAGGAGAGGCAAACACGTAAAGGAGAACCGGCACTGACGAGACCCATCAGAATTACTCGTGCGCTAGGGCCAGGAACTTATGAGTTAGCAGACGGCCGACGAGTCAACGCCAGACAGCTATACTCAGCACTTCAACCGAAGCAATGTCCTGAAACGAGGGCCACCGCAGTGAACCAACCGCTGAAGAGGGGGAGTAGTGTGGCAGCGCGTACGCGCGGGCCTTACCACGACCGCACTTCGTAGCTTGTGATTGGATGCCTGTCCGTTCGCGATCAATACCAGGGTTGTTTTGAATATACTGAGTGTATGTACCGTTGGCGTGAATAGAAGTTTGTGTTGCGTACCAGTAGAGTTCTGCTTCCTCGTTCGGGGCTTTGGTCGTGTTTGTTCAAGACCCTGCGTGCAGGGGACTAGTGTACGTGTAGATACAACAACTCCTATCCATAAAGGAGGTAGCCGCACTGATCCTGCCAACTACCGTCCAATAACACTAATTCCAGTACTATCCAAAGTGATGGAATCAATCGTCGCAGACGCGCTGATGCAATATTTAGAAAGCCACAATTTAATAGCCCCAGAACAACGTGGCTTTCGTCAAAAGCATTCGTGTAATACTAACCTATTAATTGCACGTAATAGCTGGACTGAAGCTGTTGATGATGGAGTTGGAGTCGATGTCATGTACCTGGACTTTTCAAAAGCGTTTGATCGTTTAGACCATCGAGTTCTCCATCAGAAGCATCGGAACTACGGCATTGGTGATCCAATCCTGAGTTGGATTAGCAATTTTCTACAAGAACGACGGCTAGCAGTGAGAGTCCGAGAATCATTTTCTCATGCAATCGACGTGACGTGTGGAGTACCACAAGGCTCGGTTCTTGGACCTCGTCTATTCTTGGTGTTCATTAACGATTTGGCGAGATCAATTACTTCCGATTTCTTATTTTTCGCTGATGATATCAAGATATGGCGAAGGATCAGAGGACCGGATGACCATGAACGGCTCCAGTGCGATCTTAACACCGTTTCGAACTGGTCAGTTCAAAACGCTTTACGGTTCAACGTAGACAAATGCCGCGTAGTACAATTACGCCATAGACATAACTACACCTACATACTTGGGACAAAGGAATTGCAGAATAGCTCCCAGGAACGTGATCTTTTTGTGATCGTACAGAGCGACCTCAACTTTTCAAAACAGGCTGAGGTAGCTGCCAAAAGAGGCAACCAGCTCGTCGGCATGATGGGAAAGGCATTCGGGAGATTTGACCCATCAATCTTCCCAATGATGCTCAATTCCTACGTGCGCCCGCATGTTGAGTACGCAATCCAAGCTTGGCAACCCTGGTTGAAACGCGACCTAGAAGCGATAGTGGCACCACAACGGAGAGCAACAAAGAACGTGAAGGGCCTGTGCTATCACTCTTACCACCGAAGGCTGAAGTTGCTGGGAATTTTCAGCGGACGTTATCGAAGGCTGCGCGGCGATCTCATATTAGCGTATCAGATATTGAGTGACCCCAACCACGTATGCCGCCGTTTGCTGAAACTTAACCACAATACGCAGCTCAGGGGTAACTGCTTAAAGTTGAAGGAACAATATAGCCGTCTAGAGTGTCGACGGAATTACTTTTCCCTTCGGGTTTGCAAACCATGGAACGCACTCTCAGACTCAGTAGTATCCTCTCCTACCCTGGATGTTTCCAAAAAACGATTAGACGTTGCTCTCAGCTCCCAACATTTTGTTACCTAAGCTCCTCTGTTGTGGATTACGCCAAGCATGTTTTCAACAGGACTAATGTATCAAATGGACCTAAGTGAGCGACCATATTTTATTTTCTCACTTCTTATCTCAACTATCACTGCGCCCCAGTGTCTTTCTGAATGTTTACGCGCAATAAGTTTTTATCATTGTACACCAATTTTAATTATCAAAGTATTCATCTCGGCAGACGTTCGATAGATGACCCAGACATATTTTAATTGCATCATATTCACCTCAACCATCCTACGGGACGTGTCAAGCACTTGCTTTTATCCCGTGATGAATCATTGTTCATTGTTCATTGTTCACAAACTTGTGATGCCGAATATAAAACGGTTAACACATCCTGTGCTTCGAAAGGAGAGTGGTAAAAGTTTGGAACAGTCTGCCGAAACAAATCGTTCTCCGATCTGAGTAATTTAATGACAAACGTTTCACCGCTTCCCTCAATGGCATCTACTAGCCGTCAGTCTGAGTTTGGATCGTCAGACGGGCATATGACCATCGAAATCCATCTCTGCTCCGTTCCTCGTTGTGTAGGCAAATCATCGTTGTTGGTATGTTTGTGCCATCCGACACCAGCATTGCATCGCAGACAACGACGATCAAAGAGTACAAGGCACACCAATTCTTCAAATCGGAGGGGTCAAGTCTCACTCCCGTAGAGTAGGACGTTCCTTACTGTGGTCTTATAAATACGGTCTTTCAGACGGAGGGAAGCATTTTCTGACGCCTCGGATGCCCCGAATTCAAAAACGCCGTTCCAGCTATTGTAATGTGTGAACTGGCCCGTCGTTAAGCATCCATGCTTGTCGACGCAGATGCCAAAGCAGGGGAAGTGGTCAACTACTTCGAGTTCCTCGTCATCACGGGTTGGGCGGTCAAAAAGTAGGTGGTAGTCATGTAGCAACAATTCGCATTTTGAAGTGCGAAGCACATACCAAATAATGGGACCATTCCAAATAGGTTATTCAGGGTTGATTAGGCCGCCCAAACATCGTTAAACAACAAGACCATGTCGTCCGTCTAAGCACAATTAACAACTTTTTCAGCAAGCAGCATCTCAACGCATGTGTCATGAAGCCCCGCAAGGGAACCCTCCTTGATGCAGTTCACGACGAAGTCGAACGGAAATAGTGAATTGGGCAACTCGGACGAACGACCGTTGTTGTCGACAATGCATGCGACAAATCTCCGTGGGTCCTGACGGGGCTTGTGGTCTCCGCGAACAGCGTAAGTAAAATATTCACATATTTTATGGGAAGAGCTTCCACACAAGTAATTCGAACAGAATGCATCCATCGACTGAATCGAACGCAATCAGGAAGTCCAGGTATACAGCTATCGTCGATAGGTGGCGATGATCTAGCATCTGCCGCAAAGTGAACATGTGGTCTCTAGAGCTACGTCGTGAACGGAAACATGCCTGCTCATTCCGAATCCGGGCTTCCCGTTCCGCAGTGAGACAGTAAACGAGAATTCAGGTCAGTAATTTTGTTACTAATCGCGTTAGCGTAAAATCCTTATGGTTAGTACATTCGGTGCGACTGCCCTTCCTGTATATCGTCACTGTAATTGATTTACTATAGTTAGCCGGGACAGTCTCTTCCTTCCAGAGATCTGCAAACAAAGAGTTCAGTGCTTTGCAGAGAGCGTCACCACCATCCCTATATAGTGCAGATGGTAGAGAATCCGAGCCAGCCGCATGAAAGCGATTGAGGGCTGCGAATGCGTTTCTGATCGCAGCCTCCGATGGAGCCTCCAAATTAACCGACCATGACTCAGCCTGCACAACCTGAGTATGAAGGGGTCCAATTGCAGGGGAACAACTGAACTGCTCGCCAAAGTGCTCAGCCCAGCGGTCCATACGGCGCTCTTTATTGTGTAACAGTGTAGCCAGAATGACACTGATTGTTTCGCTGACGTCTGGTTTTCTGGGACCAGTGGTGCGGTTCCGCTGGAAGAAGTTGCGATAATTGTCTACTGCTCCCGACTCCTCCAACATTTGAGCCCTACTAGTACACCAGGTTTCCTTGTCATCACGCAGGATCCAGCTAATAGTCCGCCTAGTAACATTCTGCTCAGACACAGCCGGGAGGTTTCTTCTGGTGTCCGACAGGTTAACCAACCACTCGGATACACAACGATTGGTACGGTGGTGGCGATTGATAACATCACAAGCATATGATCATGCGTCGTGCAGGTCTGCCAAAATCCGATTCTACTGATAAGCAGTGTAAGTAGGACAAGGGGACGAAAGTTCAGTAAGCAAGTCATTCCGGTCGGCTTGTCCAAACGAGGGCTGAGATAATTTCTCAATTGCCAATCCGGAGAGACGCCTGGTACGCCTCTCGGTGAAGATCGGGGAAAAGCGTCAGTGTACCGAGGCAAGATCAGAGTCGACGCAAGTACTCCAGAAGCAGCGGCAATCCAGCATGGAATCACGCCACGTCTGACTTATGGCAATGTTATCTATCTGGCTCTATTTGTGGTCAGCTAGAAGAGGATGCCAAGTGACCATTCGGCGTCCACTGTGTCTAAAAGCGATCCTACTAAGAAACAGTCGGTGTTCTGCACACAGTTGCAACACACGCTCACGGTTGTCAGTCCGTTTGGATTAAGCCCATACTTGCTATCTATCTGAGCTTTTCAAGAGCCCAGACGAAGTAATTGCGTATTCATACCCACCGCAACAACAACGATTTTTGAACTGGTAGCATTGAGAATCAACCTTCTCATTTCGTCGTAGAAGGGGTGGTTGGCAGCATCAGAACTGCAGTCGGTGGGGGCTTAAACGGAAACTACAAACAAAAAGCGTATTCTATTAGTTTGTGAATCAAAAGTAGTTAATGTCGTTAAACGGTCTGCACTCGAGCGGCTGCTCACGGAAATCCAATTAACCAACGAGCACTCAGACTTAGAGCTGTGCACAATGCCTACATCAATTTGACCGGTGGTTGCTGCAGCAGCGCCCCCGGATGCATGCAACCAATAGCGAGAGCACAAGCCGGACACAGTTAATTAAACAACCACGTGACGGTCATTGATTCAAGGCTCTGATATGCTACATGCGTCAATCTCCAGTGTGTCCAAAGTACTTGCGTGAGCAGCCCGTTGACCTACTTGACTTGGAGTAGCAATGTGAGCGCTGCCAGGGAAACAGGACAGTGTGGCCTTATAAGGAGCTGTTGGTGAGAAGTGTCCAGTGGGCAGTGCGGAAAAAGAGATGCAGACATCAAGACTCCAGTGAAGCTGTGGTTGCTATCTATATTGCTAGAAAGTATAGAAAGAAGTATAGTAACGGGGATATGGAGTGGAGCAAGTGAGACATGTGACAACGAAAGAAGGAGGCCCCACTCATAGCAGGTTTTCCCTTGCCCGCTATGCTGTGTGCGGCAGATAAGGCAATCTTTGATAAACTGCTCGATGGTCGAAGCAGGATGTGGTTGAAGTTTGAAGAAATTCATGGTTGTACGTACATATCAACTGTAGCGATGATGCAGCATACACCTTGGGAGATATTGCCCTCGGTATTAACCACAACTGCTGTTAGTGGCCGCTTCAGAGAGGTAGTTTGGGAAACCCGGTGGTAATCAGAAATTTACCCCTGCCCACAAATTTTGTTATTTCACCTAACCAATCAAAAACGGCTAGACCTTGTTTTGAAT